AGTGTACGAAAAAAGAGTTGCTGTCTTTGTTAGGGCATTTAAACTATGCTTGTCGAGTGGTAGTACCAGGCAGATCCTTCCTATCTTATCTGATTGGACTGTCGGCCACTGTGGTCAAGTTGCACCACCATATCAGACTATCTAAGCAATGTCGGATAGAGATGCACATGTGGAAAAAATTTCTGAACCAGTGGAATGGCATCTCGTTTTTCCATGACGACCATATCACATCAGCTCCGGATCTCAATCTGTATACGGATGCAGCTGGAAGTGTAGGACACGGGGGATATTTCGATGGGGCATGGTTCGCCCAGGCGTGGCCTCAGGACGTTATAAACAGTCGAGACTCAGCACAATCAATTGCTTGGTTGGAACTTTATCCTATTGTGGTGTCGGCCATTCTCTGGGGACGACATTGGACACGGAAGAGAGTACTGTTTCATTGTGACAATATAGCTACTGTGGGTATTATCAAAAAGGGTAGATCAAAATGTATGGACATTATGGCTCTGATGCGGACCCTTACATGGCAAGCAGCTATAAATAACTTTATTGTGTTAGCTGAACATGTTCCAGGCATACAAAATAACATTGCAGATGCACTTTCCCGTTTGCAGTTCAGGAAATTCCGAGCCCTGGCGCCCCACGCAGACCTCCATCCAACGCCTTGCCCACCCAGCTCACAAGTGACGTGGACCTGAACCATCACCTGGACACCCTGTGGTCAGCTGCGATCAGTCGACAAACAAGAACAGCATATTCTACAGGATTTCAGTGCTACCTAAAGTTCATGTTTAAGTTCAGTCTGTTCAACACACTGGGTGCCAGCAGCGGCCTGCCACCAGTTAACGACGCCTACCTTCAATACTTTCTTGCACATTGCTTCGGCTTCCTCAAACTCTCACATGACACCGTGAAGACTTATCTGGCGGGAATCAGATTTACGTACCTACAAGCGGGCATCAGGACACTGTTTGACGATGTCTCAACCGGTGCCCTAAATCGGATTCAAACTCTACTCAGAGGATACAAACGGGCCCATACACCAGAGCGGAGGAAGAGACTCCCCATCACTTACCATGTGCTACGTAACATCATCAAGCGGCTCAGGGATGGCGTGTTCGGTCCTTTCAACGATTTGGTAATGGAATGTATGTGTCTTACAGCGTTCTTCGGATTCTTGAGATGCGGTGAACTCACATGTTCAGCCAACTTTGATCCCAGTAGGAACATAACTATGAGCGACATTAGTTTCGTACATCATAAAAGAACATGTGTTATAACCTTAAAAGTGTCTAAGACTGATCCCTTCCGACTAGGCGTTCGCATTGCCTTATTCGCTACTGACACTATGACATGTCCCTACTCGGCCTTGTCCAAACTGTATTCCATTAGAACGCAGTGCAGGGCTGCATACCAGGATCCGCTGTTCGTCAATCGGGACTATCTACCAATATCCAGGACTGTGTTTTTGTCATGGTTAGATAGGGTCCTCACATTGACTGGCTACAACTCCGCCGACTACTCCGAGCACTCATTCCGGATAGGAGCAGCTACCATGGCGGCCACCGTTCACATCGAGGATCACCTCATTAAGACTATGGGCAGGTGGACGTCGGACTGTTACGCCAAGTATATCAGAACGTCCGATTCCACCTTAGTGCAAGCCCACAAGGCTATGTGTCACCATCACTAAGTACCATATTCATGTTATTTACCTATATTCTTAATTCTTTGGGGGCTCTCGGTTGCTAACCTCGTTTGGGTGTCATAAGCCACTCCATACTCAGAGCATGGAAGGCTTGTGGCCCCCAAAGAACTTACGCTATTTCGGTACTGTCCGGTCAGCACGACCAGTACTAGCTTAACTCTAGGGATCGTCCGGGTCATCGGACCCCAGGACCGGCATATCCCTCTGACAGCTACACAGTCCGGGTCCATAAGACCCCAGGACATTGTCATCTTACCCGGGTCTCCATGACCCCAGGGTGTCAACCCGGGTCACTTCGACCCCAGGGTCTCTTAGGCAACCGAGGCAGCCCCCATGTTGTGCCAAATGTTTATGTAAATATCTGTATGTAATAAAACTTCCTGCAATGTAATACATTTCATGTTGTTTGTGGCACAAAATATCTTTGAAATAATTCTAGGTAGATCTACAAAATCACATACCCATTTGGGTAACAAATTACTAGAAATTTTGGGTACAAAAGTCACCACTGCACATTTCAACTGATTTTCGTGAATCAATGGGATAAAAAAATTTGGTCTGAATGATTCCTTTTCTCATTTTTTAAGACAAGAATTTGTTTTACATAACAAAACAGGCAGATCTACATGGATCACGTTTTGTCTTAAAAATGTGAAAAATATGGACACTTCAGAAATGAGGGCTTATAAGGTTATAATTCTACCTAACTAGTCACATGGTTTGACTTAGATGTAGGTCTATCTAAGAAAAGTCCTTATGAAAATCTTTTTTTATTTATTTTTTTTATGACACTGACATTTCTGGCACTTAGACAAAGAGTATTCAAGGAAAGACAGATATGTTTTTGAATGAAAATATGACTTTCCTTTATAATTCTTTTTTCATGATGACAGGGGAACTTTTATACACACCAGGTGAGGAAGTTGTGATACTGTGATTGCAAACAAAGAAAAAACAGGTTGGAAGCAGTACCTGTATGTATAAAATAGACCACATAAGGTGAACAAAAGTAATGGATTGGCTGACTGGAAAAGATACATCTGGCAAGGGTAAACATGTACACAGGCATGTTTCTTTTCATTCCAACCAGAAGACTGAGATAGCATTTTCTAAGAAACCTATGGCAAACTTACCAGCTCATGTGCCACCATGGTTCTTGTCATTAAACAAACAAAAAGGTCATGTACTGTTACAAGTACTGTTACTGTAATTAAATTAAATTAATTCCTATTAAATTATATTTCAGAATTGTTTTATTTGGAAACAAACCACATAATACACAAGATTAATGTCCATATGAGTTAAGTATGTACATGTTAAGGATCTGATTTATTCATTATTCATGGAATACAATTGAAGTTTGATCAGTTACAGTGCTGATGCAAAAGACTAATATTTACTATCCCCACACACCATCATTGTGGGAAAAATGACTATTAAATATAACTTAAAATTTTAAAACCTGTAAACAGCTGTAAATAATTAAACAATTACAAATCTATCATCAATACGCAATCATGTTGGTCTTCATATTTTGGGAATAAATTTAGAAATCCTTCGTGAAACTGTTCTAAAATCATGCTAGAATCTATATGAATGTATTCCCGAAAGGAAAACTATCCTAAATGTAATGTGGAACTAACACCGAAAATATGTACGTAGCATTTTATTGCTTATATATACCCTATCATATTCAGCAACGCAGGGTTGTTATTTTGAAACATGTTTTGTCAAGCCCATTTTCGCGCACCTGTTGTTCAGGGTGATCTTGCTGATCGACACTATCCATAGACGTATTACGTGGGATACACTTGTTGTAGTCAAACTTATCAGCATGTACATCGCAGAAATATGAATCATGTCCCATTTATATTCACAACATTGAAAGGTGATTCTTAAATATCAACAGAAGTTCAAATAAAAGATACCGAGAAACTTGCATGTGGCATGTTGATTTATCGTCTACCGTTTCCGGGTCACGGGAGCATGCAAGGTCAAACGGATTAACTAATACGCGAATTATATCGTCAAAGTCACATTTTTATTTCATGTTAGTGGTGATTAATGATACTGTGTATCGACTTATGTTTTTGCTGTATGTAATAGGCGAAATATTTCAAACTTTACTGTAATTATTTTGTTTCGAAAGCTTATCAGCAGACTACCCCTGTCTGTGAGTGCACATCCAGTGATGTGCACTTATTGAAATAGTGCTGTCAGAATTCATGATCTTTATTTTTATTTTTTTCTCAGCATATTTATTGGAATATGACGAATAAAACATTTTTCGATTGAGAAGATCGTCAACTTTCGCCAAGTTAATTTATATAGGCAATGTAAACTTTGTTGATATTAAAATAGCAATAAGTTATGCGGAGGTCGGGCGAAGCGCGCCATGTTTGATTTTAGGACGTCTGCTAGCATCACGACACGGGTTGTTTATTTTTGTATATCGTAAATATTCAACCAAAACGCTTGAAATTAGGATTAGTGAATATTTATAAGTCATTAATTGTTTCCTGCAAATTTTATAACATGACACGTCAGATTAACCTGAACATTCGTATTTCTGCAACCGACATGATGACCTCGAAAATTAAGTTATTTTTTTGTTTAACGTTTAGATAATAAATTCACTGAAATGGTTCATAATTTACCATCGCGCTGATATATGCCGATTATAAAATCCGAATTTTTACTCAATTAAAATTAAGATATTGGAGATATGATTATTGAAATCAATTTGCACAAATGTTACGATATTAAAATGTTCCTAGCATGAAATGCAAACCACCTTCAATAACGCAATTCAGGTAAGTTCAAGAAAATTTACAAATTTTGTGTTCGCTTTGGTCTTAACCTTGGTATGATTAAAAACACCAGGATATTTTTATATAGAATTGTGTAGTTTTCTATCAGGAATAAATGTGCAAAATATTTCTTCAATTGGCCCTTGTTTAATGAGGCACCGACTGTTTGAAATCACCCACCCTTTTTAGGGCGCCTTATGCTAAAATTAATCCAGCAGGCAGGGGTAAGAAGTGTGAAAATAATTCAGCAGGCTAAAGGTTAAAGCAGTGTGCATGTAAAGGGAAGTAACTGCACGTTATATTGGAATGCATTGTTTTGAAGAATTGTAGCATTTCACTGCCAGGGTTGTATGTTGGAGACGTGAAATATTTCAGGATTTCTTTCCTTTTTAAAATGGAAATAAAAACTAAACGTGTTGGGGATTTCGTGAATATGCAGCAGTACCTGAGAAACATAACTATTTTCTTTTTAGCCTTACCTTCACCAACTGTTCCTGCAGCAGTCGGTCCAATGTATATGTTCTGCGCCTTGATGACAGTGATGGCTCTTGGGGCATCACCTATAAACCAGATTTCAATGACAATAGCTTTACACTGATTAATATTTAACAAATTATCTAGAAATAATAACAAGGCAATAACCTGTGTAGCACACCTTCTAGAGGAGACATTATGTGTGTAGAAAATGTTGCCTTAACAAATCTAGTGTTCAATTTTCATGTTTTGTATGGTGTTCTAATCACAACTTCACTACCCCAGCGGGGATTACTGGGTAGAATTGGTCCCAGCAACCTATGCTGGTCAAAATGGATTAAATGGTCAAGCTCAGTGGGGACTTGGCTGACAGCTTGTCATTGTACCTCAACAACGTGGATTGTTAATCATGTATTATGGATGTATAGCTTGTTGCTGCTAATTTAAGGGTAGTAAGCCCCTGTGGTTATGTCTTTGTAAGCCTTGTTAAGCATGGACATTAAAAACACAGCAGTACTATTATGATGATGATGTAAACTTGTAGTAACATTATTTTACTGAATGCTTTATATTTCTTTCAACACAACATCATAAAGTCTGAGATAATCTATTGTCCAATTTTTAAGTCTTTCAAAGGGACGTCCATTTTGAATTTAATAATGGACGAAATGTTGTCTCCTGTCAAATAAATACAAATACTACATGATTACTTTTCAAACAGTGGCTAGGCTTTGGTTGTCGTTTGATTCATAAAGCGATTATGAATGGAATGGAGCAAGACATTCTGTCTTAGAAGTACATCTTCCTGAGGCAAGGGAGTTAACTGACTATAAAAGTCCAGTTTCCACCCTTGCCAAACTAGGCTGGTATTATGGAGTTACATTTTGGCTGAACTAACGAGTATATTGTATATGCATAGTCCAATCAAAATGGTGCACCGAAATCAAAATCCGGTTTATAAACCGTCGTGCAGATTTCGGTCGATTGCAGGATTTGCAAAGCATGTGCACCACCAACTCGTTGTCAGCAGATATTTTCCAAATCTTTTCATGTTTTTAATCAGGGTGTTCGTGTGATTTGATGCATTTTGCGATGTAAGACCCGCGTTATCACAATATAGATCTTTATTATCGATCAGATCGTCTTGACTGGGCCCCCCCATTTTGTGTGAAGCAAACGCAAGTGATATGAGAGGTGGAATCTGATTGGTCAATAGGAGAGGCTCAGAAGGGACACAGCTGATAACAGCCAATGGTGGCGCTATGATCGAGCCCAGTAATACCAGCCTAGTTCAGCAAGGGTGGAAGCTGGACTTTTAAAGTCAGTTAACCCTCATGGTGCCTGGACGTCAGTCAGCCTGCAAACCGCTCAGTGCTGCACTGTGCTGACGTCGCGGTTACAAAAACGTATACATTGTATCAAAAGTGTTGCAACGTCTTTATTTCTTCACACAGTGTAACCAAATTGTATAACATGCAACTCGAGTTGATTGTCTTTCCAAAAGTATCTAAAGTCACCAAATCCAAAAGATCTATGCACTGCCCAGCCATCAATAAAAGTGCTAGTATTATAAGCTTCCTACTTTTCCACATTAATCGTAATATGGACGCACTCGAATATGGCAAGCAAAGTCAACTGAGCGCCCTTGTTTGAAATCTAAATGACCAATAATTCATATCATTGGCAAGTACATGTCCTAACAGTGATAGACATATGATATTTATGTTGACGTACCAATCACTGAGAATTTTCCATGAGTTACATTTACCGATATAAAATCCCGATGAAATTGTGCATGTTTTTGACGTCAAAATAAAAATGACGGAAATGGTCGTGATTAATTCATACGCAGGCTGTTTCAAAGATTATGTCACAAAACGAATCACAGTTTGGAATGGATATCTTGAAGAAATCCCGGTTACGTCCATGTATGTTTCAGTGACCAAGTGCTCGTATTTCGCACTTGGCTGCCTAACTTAGACCTTTGCTCAAATATACTTGTATGGCCAGTCCATGAAATACCACTTTTTCTTTCATTTATTCATTTGATTTATAAATACGACTTTAGAAGTGTATTTACACCTAGCTAGGTATGTACATGTACATTAAGGACATACGTGATAGTTTATTTCCACTAGTTTCCCATTCCATCCCATCTACTAAAGGAACAGTTTGAAATAGATAATGATCGTAGGTCAATGAAAGTAATGGAATTATCTGTCATAAAAGGAAAAATATATTCTTGGTATTGAACTTCGAAAATTTAACCAGCAAAATCTTTAATAAAAGTGGTTTATTATGTCTTTCCTTTTTTTCTTAATTTTGGCCTAGCTAAACTACAGCTTGGAGGGAAGATATACCGTATTTTCTTGAGTATAGTGCGCACCCATGTATAATGCGCACCCCCCTCTAGCGGGTTCAATATTTTGGAAAAAAAAGAAATTTGAATATTATGCGCAGAAATTTTTTACACCGTACCCTTTCAGCGAAGTCCGGCAAACGAACGGATGCTGAGAAACTTCGTCAGTACAAATTCGAAATTTGAGATAAAAAATCACCAGACATGTTTATTTACGGTTTAAATAGTATTTATTGTTCTGCTAGGCATTGTTTTATATTTAGGGATTAAGATTACCTTGCGTATTTTCTCGTAAACTAAGCTGGAAACAGCAATCAGCTGTACACACGTTTTCTTGGAATCGACCGGTGATTCGGTCAAGACACACCCAATGATATAACTTTATAAGATTTTTAATGCAAGGATCGGCAACAATTGTATCTGAAACTATTTTATTTATCAGGAATAATATATTCCATTATTTTCTTAATTATATGCAACCTTTACTAAACATATTTATAATAATAATAACCCTAAGCGAAGCAGCTGATCGCTATTCCCGGGTATTATTTTTTACATGGAACATGTCTCACCAGTCACCGTCAAGGCTCACGCGCACGTGATCACGTAATCGCGAGAATTTCATGTTGACATAGAATCGTCAAACAAAAACAAATATGACTTTTAACGAGTCAAAGTATGTCATTTATGATATATGTATCCATTCTCTGTCAACTAAAGTTTGTTTCAAGGCTTCAATAGCGGTATTCTGACCGTGGTTGCTGTTAATAACGGTGAGTTGTGCGATCTTCCGATCGCTTCACACACGATTTCGCCGAAATTAATAAAAACAATATTATAAGGAATTTTGAATAAAATCAATGAAATAAGTTACAAACATAAGTCCAGATATAGAAAGAACACTTTTTATAGCCAGACAGTGTAATTACATAATTATTTTGCGTACTTCAATACAGATTTGTTGACATGGTATTCCCGGTGTTTCGTGCTCACGGTAATGTCTTTCCATGGGGGAAAAAAACATCCAAACTTATAATTCGTGTATAATGCGCACCCCCTTCTACACAGCTGTGTTTTTTCGAAAAAAAGTGCGCACTATACTCAAGAAAATACGGTACAAATTAAAATGGTGAAATAAACACCACAAGAATGCATTGATTTTGTTCTTAGACAAATATTTATTTAAAAAAAAATCTATTTCATACTTAGGATACAAAACAAAGTAGAATCTAATATTACTATGTCACTGGTCGAAGTATTTGGTAATTTAGATAATGCAGAGTGAAAAAAAGACATAAATATAACTATATAAAACATCAATACGAAATCACATTTACACTGAAAACTTTTTGTCTTTCAGAAATTTATTATCTATATATTGTGAGTAGATCTAATTACTTTTACTGTTTATGTTATAAATTGAACCATTCAAGATTCCAATCGATGAAGCTAAAATATTAAAAATCTAGGTTGTTTGATATTGGATCCATTTTGACAGCTTTCTCACTGTACTCAACTAAATGCACATGATTTTTTTGGAATATCAAGCCTTCAAACAGATATGAAAAGCACATGTCAACATACCAAAATTAGAAAACTGCGCCAAATATTCTAACCACTGCTAGTCAAATGATAAGCGGTCTCATTCACTCGTCAGTCGCCGTAGACATTTTCCAATTGTGATGTACTAGATATGCTTTCTAGTTCAGTCAAAGAGAATATTGTTATTTGGAAAATGAAACCACGTGTATCCATTATACTACCACAACATTAGATCAGCTGTTTCATGTGACGTCATCCACGTCACAACACGAGAGGTCAAATCACACGCACCTGTCCAGACGACAAATTCACAGCGGCGGGAAATCACCGACCGTCTCTTAGCCTATTTGAATAAAATTGCAGATTGTAATGAAATAAGATTAATTTTACTAATAGCTGACATTTCAGATGACATATCAAATAAGAGTTGAAGACTTGCAATAGATCATCATACGTTATTTGAGAGTACAGTGTACATAAATAATTTATAAATCAAATATTAATTTTTGATCTAATATCCATGGCAGAATGTTTGAAGACGAGCTATAATATATTCCATTTTCTAAAGAGATTAGTAATGTGTATTTGATGATATATATGCATACACAATTGGTTATCAATTATCTTCTGCAATCACAGCATGTACCATGTACATTAGACTCAGCAAACCAATCACAGCTTTCAGTAGTAATTGCATTATGCTTGTATCGCGTTTACCATCGACAGAAACGGGGGCCGAGCTACCACATGTGGAACCGACCTTGACACAATTTGTTTACAATATGGCGTTGACTCACGTTAGATGTCGTGGCCACACTTTTGAAATCTCCATTTGCGACAAAATGTGAAACAGTTAGAGGAAGTCACTCACACAGTCGGGTAGTTAGAGCTTGAACAAAAAACTTCCGTGGCGGACTAAACATTAGTACTCTTACGCCAATAACTGTACAGTGGGGACTAGTAAATCTTTCTGACCAGTCCGATCAGATTTCTTTTTCAAATTGGCTGTCTGATATAATAATAGTTACGTGTATGTGACATGGGTGCATAATAAAAAATTGCCAAGTTCAACATGACAGAAAAAGATCGAGAAGCGGTAACCACAATCTGTAGCACTGCATAAAATATGAGTTACACGATATTAACGTTGAGATGATTAGGGTGATGATGGTTATAAATTCATTCAATGAACGTCATAAATGTAATGGAAATATACACTGTCGTTTTCTCATGTGTACCGACCATTCCGCCATTACTGATAATCGATAAAAAATATACAAAACGTGTAAATAAACTTGTTCATAAAGGAGTGAACAGAATTGTATTTACGTGAATAAGTATACAGTTGGGAAAAATACGCCTTTCTGACCACTCGGATTTTGTCTGAAAATATTTACGTGTATGTGACATGGGTGCATAATCAAAATTCGCCGTCATTCGCTTGGTGTTCAAACAAGGCAGGAAAAGGCCGAGAAGAGCGGTAGCCACTTTACTAATCTCGCAATATTTCGCAATCCGTAGCATTGTATAAAGTATGAGTTACACGATGTTAAAGCTAAGATGTTTGGGGTGATGATGGTTATAGTTTTGACTTTGCGCACTCATTGTTAAATATCAAAATTCACAGTTTAAAAAGGGCATTTTCCCGGGACCATATATGGTCCCCTGGTACTATGCGGGTGTGAAAAGTGAGGGACCATATATGGTCCCGTGGCACCAAGAGGGTTAACTCTCTTGCCTCGGGAAGAAGTAGAAGTATTGCCCCTATATTGTTGGATTCAGGTGTTTGGGTCCTGTTATAAACTTATAGTTATTGACTGAACTAGGTCAAGAAACTAGGTTACTTGTGCTTTGTTAGATGAAATGGTAAACGTACCTGAGTCTGCGTTCAGCGGAATACCTTCCGAGGGGATGAGCTCCATCGTCTCCTCTTCAAGGTCATCCTCCTCCTGTATCAAGGACACACTTGTGAGATCACGTGAACTGGCCATCTCTGCTTTAGTTCTTCAAACAACTATGTCATGCAGGGATGAAGTTGACACTTTCAGGTCCATCTGAACAAACAAGCAGGTTTCCATGTAACATAAAAATGCAACTGCATCACTTGTAAACCAGATGTATAATTCTTACCAATCCTCTACATCTATTACATCATTGCCATAAATCCTGAATTTTGGCTGCTTTCACACTAAAACTAAACTTTCAGATTTTCAACAGAAGTCCTTTTCACTGTCAACTATACATAATTAGTTGTTCCATAATAGCAAGTACTAACAGCTTCTAGCTCTTCTGTGCAAAGGTGAGAAAAATCACATGTAATCAGTGCTTGTTTAATGGGTAATTAGCAACCCCTAGACGTGCATGCCCAAATAAGTGAGCGGATGGTTGAGCGGGCTGTGCCCCGTAAACTGCATTGGTGCGCGTGTGGTATCCGCTCAATTACCGCGCTATAGTACGACCGCTTTCTCGCTATACAGTTACCATGGCTCACACTCCAGTGGCTCTCGCTTTACGATCCAAGACTCCTTTTTGGTCTTAGGGAAACGGACACATCTTTACGATCCAACACCCTTTGTGGTCTTAGGGAAACTGACACGCCTTTACAATCCAACACCCCTTTTTGATCCTTAGGGTAAGCCTGTTTAGAGCAAGGCTTTTACATACATTCTTACCTTTTCAAAGCGTTAATCCTGCTAATCCGAATAATGTGATTTGGCGCGGTCAAGGTATGTGGTAAAGCTGACCCTATGGGACAGGTCAAACAGAAGTTGTAAGTATTGGATGAGGGTAATTTAGGTAAACACTATTGAAAGAAATTTTGAATAAAATAGAAGACAAACAGAAGGTCAGATGTGAACACATTTTTATTACCAGATAGTGTAACAACAGGATTAACATGCGTAATTCAATACAGATTTGTTGATATGCTATTTCCTATGACGGACCATGACAGCCTGAAATGATACCAAAGAAAAGTCTGTGCCTATTACACATGACATATTTTTTTCCAGGATTTAATTGCCCATAATTATGGGTGCATATTATATACTTGAATAAATACAGTATTAGGTACTTCAAGTTGTTTATTTGACTTCATTGGGGCTTGTATTACGTGAGTATTAGTTAGTGTTTGTTATTTGTTGTGTCTCTACGAGCTATGTTGTTGTCTGCTTCTCCTTCTACGTGTGAGAAGTGTATCATTTCAGGCTGTCATGGTCCGTCATAGGAAATAGCATATCAACAAATCTGTATTGAATTACGCATGTTAATCCTGTTGTTACACTATCTGGTAATAAAAATGTGTTCACATCTGACCTTCTGTTTGTCTTCTATTTTATTCAAAATTTCTTTCAATAGTGTTTACCTAAATTACCCTCATCCAATACTTACAACTTCTGTTTGACCTGTCCCATAGGGTCAGCTTTACCACATACCTTGACCGTGCCAAATCACATTATTCGGATTAGCAGGATTAACGCTTTGAAAAGGTAAGAATGTATGTAAAAGCCTTGCTCTAAACAGGCTTACCCTAAGGATCAAAAAGGGGTGTTGGATTGAAAACCACATAGATGTGGGACACTACACATCTGGGCTTAAATGCGACTTGTCTCTATCATCCGTTTTCTACTTGTCTCAGCCCAGTACAGGATCTATAAGCACTCCAACTGGACACTCCGTCCATGAGCTGGACCGGTCTCTTCGCTTATACATATCCTCCTTGGGCTCTCCTAGACAAGATGATAAGGTAAATAGAATTATCATATGGCGTGATCATTCTGATGGCACCAATCTGACCGTGGCATCCATGGTTTTCTAGGCTACTATCACTTCTAATGGAAGATCCCAAACCTTTACCACATCGCAGAGATCTATGTCAATCCAGGTCGGACATACTGTACAAGAATCTCACCAGTCTACATCTATTTGCATGGAAATCTCGCAGAAGATGCATGCCTCTGGATTCTCAAAATCTGCCTCTTCTGCTGTTGCTTGATCTTTGGGACCTTCATCTTCCCCTATTTACAACAATAGATGGGACAAATTCGTCCAGTGGGGAAGACGATTAGGTTTAGATGATACCCAAGTTACCGTGCCAATAATGGTTGCTGCATTTCTCCTACATCTCTGACAAGTTAAGTTCCGACATGTGACAATTGAGAGCAATAGCTCTGCCCTTCACTCAGTACTTCAACAGGATGGATTATCTATCAGCAACACCCCATTCTGAATAGACTCTTGCAAACTTTTCTTCTGGAAGATGTACACACTCTTAGGATCTTCCTAAACTGGAATTATTGTTGGTTCTTTCTGCTCTTCTAACAGAACCATTCGAGCCCCTTGCAAATGCTATACTGCTACATGATGCGAAGAAAGCTTCTTTCCTCTTAGCTACGAAGAAGCTTAAAAGAGTCTGCAGTTCTTGGTCGAAGTACTGCAGCACCTTAGCAATGGCCTTAACTGTCTGCGCTGTATAGGTGTGATGTTGGTGACAAACTCTGTTAAGGAGACACTCCCGAAGACGCTAAACTCTACCATCCCTCATCTGTGATGTGTGCTGAGGTGAGGCAGAATGGCAAAGGCAGGGATCTAAATGTCAGCTGTACGGCATAAGGAAAACTTAGGACATAGGCAGATGTACATCAAACTGAAGCACTTGCCCCTGTAAAGTGTGAAGGGTCACTGCAGGGCAGGTAACAGACCTTGCCATATCTTCCGATATCTGGAAGCTGGCCTCCGGATTCTCTTTATTTGCCTCTGCAGCGGTGGCTAGGTCGTGGAGGCCGTTGTTCTCTCTCCTTTACGACAACAGATGGACTAAATTCATCCAATGGCGACGACGATTTGGATTAGAAAACGTCACCATCACCGTCCCCATGGTTGCTGACTTCCTCCTACATCTTTGTCAGGATATCCATTTTCGTCATGGAGCCATCGAGGGATATTGCTCAGCTGTTCATTACATTCTCCAACATGACGGTTTATCGATAGACAACCATCCAATCTTGAATCAGCTTATGGGTTTGTTTATCCTGGAAGATGTCTGTATTCCTTGTACCTTCCCGAAATGGAACCTCTCATTGGTTCTCTCAGCCCTCCTCACACCACCTTACGAGACTCTCGCCTCTGCTACATTACTCCAAAAATCACCGAAAGCAGCATTCCTCTTGGCCATGGCTACAGTTGCTCGAGTTTCGTAGCTCCATGCACTAGACCACACCAGCCTTACTCATGCTCCAACTGTTCTTCCATCACCTTACATTCTCTCCCAGAATTCGTAGCAAAGAACCAGGCAGCTAATTACACCATTCCTGCACTTGGACCCACAGTTGTCCATTCTCACCAACTTCTCTGCCCTATGAGAGCTCTCAAATTCTATCTCGCTGCTACCGATCCCCATTGCAGATGTCAGAAAAGAATGTTCATCTCTTGCAAGACACATTCCGTCAAAGATATAACTAAGGCCATGGTAGTGGGCTGGCTCAAGACCACGATAGCCTCATAGTATCATCAAAGCCCCGGACACTCCTCCCCTCCTGGGATTATGCTCTGGCCTCTGAAATTAGAGCCTTAGCTTCAAGTCTGGCATCATGGACCTCTGTCTCCTTAGAACAGATAGCTTTGAGCTGTCAGTGGGAATCACATACCTTCACTTCCTTTTACTTGTATGACATTCAGTCTAGTCTTACGGATAACTTCTCATTAGGCCTGTTTTTTTGCTGTGCAGACTATTATTAACCACCAACGTTTGTCCTGCCTTCTACGCCCAAAAGATTGGGGTGGGATGAGAAAGGGTCGCGAGAAGGTTCACCTACACCTTCTACTATTTTGACTGGTGCCCATGGCATCACAGTTAAGTTAACTCGATGATTGGAAGTGACGTCACATTTGGAGGAGAAATAAATACAGGAAGTGACATCATTAATGACATCATCAGGATCCAAGATGACATCATTAAAAAAGAATGACGTCATTTAGACCGGATGTGACAGCAGAAATCGGTAGATAAGATCTTAAAACTGACAAAAGAATTATACAAAGTTATATCCAGATAGAGGGATACTCATAATAGAAATATCTGCAATATGATGGTAGTTCTAGAAAAAATATCAAATATTTTCTGATGATTTCATTACATGACTTTCAAGTTCTCTGGAAATGGTTAGACATAACTGATTCAAATCCCTGAGAGATGTAATAAGATGGAAAAACAAGTGATGACCGGAACATCTACGACCATTCCTGTCTTCAGGAAACAAGAGTCGATGCAAAAACGAAACGCCCGAATAGGTATCTGAAATACAATGAGGCGTGTTGCCAAAATATAGAACTTACCGAAGAGCGAAAAACGAAATGCAGTAGAGCCCTCTAATCTGAGGTGATAAACACCAGAGAGTTCGACGGGCCCCGCTCAGGGTATCGAAGAATCGGCGGCGGCGGCAGCAAAATCTACAACCAATGCCAAGAGCGAATGCGAAACACAGGAGAGCCCTCTAGGTTGGAGGCAAGGAACACTGGTGAGGTCGACGGGCACCGCTCAGGTATCAGAGAAGCAGCGGTGTTGGCGTCAGGAAACGAGAGTTGATGCAAAAAGTAAAACCCGGATAGGTGACAGAAATAGAATGAGCCGGGTAACCCAAAACTAAAACTGACCTAAGAGCGAATGCGGAACGCAAGAGAGCCGTCTTGTCTGGGGTGATAAACACCAGAGAGGTCGACGGGCCCCGCTCAGGGTATCGGAGAATCAGTGGTGTCGGTGATAGATGACCTGTTGGGCTACAACCAGGGACCAAAACTGTGAACGCCGGCGACATCTTTCAAGGCTACATCACGGAAGTAGTGGTTGGTGAAGGCGGTGTCCGATCACCAAGAACAGGCTTCCCTGAACGACTGGATGGAACAGTATACCGAGAAGAACCATTGGAAATGCGATAGCCCTAATCTCATGACGGTTGATAGCCTTTGGGGGGAGGGACCAATCCGGCGGCTTCATAAGCTTTAAGGATGACCGCCGGAGCCACAGGGAAAAGTATTCCGGCTGACCAACGACTGCGACGAAGAGGAAACCGGCAGAAAAAAGGTGTTTCCTATACTTGCAGCAGGCTTTTAGATCGTCGTAGAACAACCTTCAGTGCCCTTACTGGGCATAATGACGCTCTTCCTCATCCTCGGCACCCACAATGGACGAGGGGGGAGGGAACAAAGAATGATCTCTCAGGCTGTCCTGGGAGTTGAGTCTTTACGCTGAAGTCCCAGTACGGTCCATGATGAACGGCGCCCTGGGTATCGCATTCGAACCGGGCACGGGAGACGTCGAGGGCGTGCTATACATGGACTCGAGCGGCAGTAGCCAAAACCAGTAGAAACGCCGTCTTCTTCTTTAGGTCGTAGAAAGAAGATGAGGGGAGTGGTTCGAAGGGCGGTGAAGACCACATTCAGATCCAACGCAGGCGGTCTGAACTTGGCCTTCAGGTCTTCAAGACTGAATGAGCGCAGCCAAGACTGTAGGTCGGGAATTTTCGTCTTTCTCCGATCGTCCGGGATGGCCAGAACGGAGTAGATGGCGACCAGGTATGTTGGGGTGGTAAAGCCCTTCAACCGACCGGTGCTTCGCAAGTACAGAAGGAACTGATCCAGGAACTGCGGTGACGCTGTCATCGGATCCTCGTGCTTGTCTGAACAAAATGCCTGGAACGAGCATCATTTATCAGCATACAGTCCCCATGTAGATGGAAGGTGGGCTGAAGCAATAGCCTAGGTCGCTCTAGCCGAATAGCCCTTGGCTTTCTGCAGTTGTGTCAGGCGTGCAGACGATAACATGGGGGTATTAGGGTGTGGCAACAGACCGTGTGGATGGAGCAGAAGGTTGGACCACACCGGAAGTTCCAGGGGTTGTCTCTGGCTATGTTTCGGAGGTCGATAAACCACCTTCTGGCTGGCCAACAAGGCGAGACCAAATTCAATATCAGGGGCCGAGTGACCTGGATCTCTGAAGAACTGTGGGAGGGAGAACTGGAGTCGGAAAAGCGTACAAGCGTAATCCTTCTCAGGAACGACGGAAGGCGTCAACTGCCACAGCGGCCGTATCCGGCACTGGTGGAATGGAAGACGACAGCTGGCAACATTCAGAGATGAGTTAAACAGATCTAGGGTTGGGGTGTCGACCTTGTGACATAGTCTGGCCAGAGGCGCCGGAGAGCGTTTGAGTTTGAGGCGCCGGGAACGCCGGAGATGTTGATTCTCAGGGGCGCCGGTCGAGTTGGTAGCGCTGGGAGAGGGGCGAGTACTCTGGGTCCTCAAACACCACACTATGGTGACGTCGTCAGTGGACGCGAGAGTGCACTGTCAGCAAGTGACGTCCTGGATAAGCCTTTATCTCGAGGCTGTTGCTGTGCCAATGGTGTTTATCTCCGGATCACAGGTGGTCACACTGTGGGCTGGTGTGGGCCACTAGCCACTGACAAGGTGGCAGTGGAAGAGCGGGAAGTCATGGTAAATGAGGTCGTCTACAAGACTGCAAAATGGAGAAGCCAGCAACAGGGGTCTGCGATTGCCTACCGTCGGGACGATTTGGAAAGAGGTGTGCACGCCTGCGAACCAACCCCATGTAGACGAAGTAAACCAGCTTCACAATCGACGTAACCTGGTAGTAGGAAGTCGAGGCAATATGTCCATTGCACGAAGTAATGAGATCTTTTCCATCCCCGAAGCGGGCGTATAAGCACTCCTGTTCTTATATTGAGGTGACGATGAAGGACTACAACACGATACGAGGCAGGTATGCAACAGGGGTCAGTGGGACGGCCGAGGGACGAAGTATCAAATCGACACTGTGTCCGGTAGTCAAGGCGGAAGATAGGAAGGTGTCGTAGTCTAAAAGATCAAACCGGACGAAGGAAGGCGATCTTTTCCATCCCTTGAACGCCTATAAGCGCTATCGTTCTTATAGCGAGGGGCTGATGAAACAAGGTTTCTCGTGACAGCCGTGTTGGTAGAGGAGGTCTATTGTTTCAACATCCGTGCATGGATGAACTGCGCCAGGCGCCTGGTTGAGTGGATGCACCAAGTGTACAGGTAAACATGTAAGCCAATCTGTAGAAATACATGGCACCCCTTGCCATGGTAAGTTGACCTAATTCTGGTCGGAGTTGTTGACAGTCCGAGTACTTGACACGTGACATGTAAATCACTCTGCGCAGTAGCCGAGAAAGCCGCATTGGAGTCGGAACTGAGGTGCAAACTCCACACATAGACAATCCTCAATGAACTGTGTGAGAGACGAGCAAGTGGTGTACCCGAGTTTTGCGAAAAAACGTGGAAGCCCCGGGGGCGTCGTGGAAAACCCGGGGAGCGCCGAGGAAGAGTCTCTTTCAGGAACGCTGGCGCTAGGGCAGGGAAGAATAGCGTTGGTGTCGGCGATGTCGACGAAGTAGACTCTTTTTTAGTGGATGTCGTCGTCGAATCTGATGCAGACGCTGTCCACAAGACGCTCTGTTTCGATGGAAAACCCTCTCCGGAACCATAGCGTTTTAAAAGACGGGATAAAGGATAACGTCTCAGTGGGCAAGTTGAATCAGACCAACTGTCTATTGGTTGAAAAGATTCCACCCAGGAAGTAGAACGATAGTCACGATCACGAAGAGCGATGGGAGAGATCTGAGCTTGATAAAGCTTGTGGATCTGGGCGCCGGAGGTCATGAGGCGCCGGAGGTCATGAGGCGCCGGATACATCATAGGCGCCAGAGCTCTGAAGGCGCCGGAACATCAGAGGCGCCGGGAGCGCCGTAACTCTTGAGGCGCCAGAGACATTAGAGGCGACGAAGATCTTGAGGCGCCAGAGCTCTTGAGGCGCCGGACTCATCAGAGGCGCCGGAGACATCAGAAGCGCCGGAGACATCAGAGGTGCTGGACTCATCAGCGGCGCCGGACTCATCAGAGGCACCGGGAGCGCCGGAGACATCAGAGGCGCCGGGAGCTCCGGAGACATCAGAGGCCCCGGGAGCGCCGGAGACATCAGCGTTGTCAACGAAGAAGGTGTAGGAGACCGTGAACGGTTGTATGTCGTGCCATGGGAGGCAGACTCTACGTTGGGAGCGTCTGAGCCGCCGGTGGTGTTGGGAGCACTGCGAAGCTAGGCTGAGCGCTGCTGCTGTCAACGGAGATGGGGGTCGACGAGCACGTTGAGCGAGGTGTGTCCTGGATACTCGTATGAGCTGAAGGATCACAGCGACGAATGGCTGCAACATCGGCACTGCCTTGTGAAAGTACAGGGCGTCTTACAATCACGGCAGAAGGGGCGGCTCCGATCAGATTTGTTCCCGCGGCAACAGGTGCAGCGGGTAGAAAATCTGGAATTTAAGCAAAACATAACTATGTGGCAAAACCACAAAGTGCGGGAAGCATAATGTGACTCAAAAACTTTGTATGTCAATGAAGTTGATGAGATCAAACAATGACGCTAAATTACGTGGCCACGTGGTGAATGGCCAAAATGGCAGGAAAGAAAACAAAATGGCGGGAACAACATTGCCCCCGTAAAATACTGTGAAGTGAGCCACAAACGAGCGATAAATGTTACAATTTACGAATGGGAAGACCCTAAGGTCACGGCCCGTAACAGGTAACAATGTAACAGCATATAATGAATGTAGAAACACGCAAAATATAAAAAACAAACAATAAGCTTTAATTTCCACAAGGGATACAAAGTACGTCCGTCCGTGGAGGTTACACAGCAGTTATGTGTTTTGGTGTGACATCATGACTTCTGGGTCACGTGCCGACTGTGAGAGGGCGCTGCCTCCTAAGCTGGTTGGGACAACTTTCTTCAGCAGCTGGATCTCACACAGTTTGTCTCTCTGTCAAAGGACAGCAGTAAATGCAATACGGAGTAATGCAGGATAAGTTAAAAAATTGAAAGTTTTAGTGTGGTGTGACTTCAGTCAAAATACAGGATTTATGGCAATAATGTAATAGAAGTAGTATTCTTAGAATTATAAACAATGATAACTATGGTTCGATATTTGTTCATTAATATATGTCAGCCAAACTGATATTTAGATATATACTCACTGTGCATTTGCTGCTAACTACGCCCAGTCCCAGCATGTGAAGATTGGACTGTGGCCAGGCTAGTTTTATACAGGTGTGATTATCAGTGATAGTCACTGTCATGTGCCTATTTCCAATGTAGGTCGAGATAAGTGCCTCGTATACAGAGGAGACATTGTCTTTATGTTATCGGGTTGTTTTGTTATTGCTAGATGGATCTACTGATAGATGATAAAACTTAAGTTCATCCCTGAAATGTGTTAAGTTGTTAAAACTGAATTGTGATCTGTAGATAGGGTTGAAAGGGGTACCTGGGTACCAAAGTTGTGAACTAAGAAAGAGAGTTATCTCCCATGGCGTACTTGAAGTGAGTGAGTGAGTTGGGTTTAACGCCGCTTTTAACAGTATTCCAGTTATATCATGGCGTGTCAGCTTAATGTGGGAGGAAAGCCTGAAGTGATGCAGGTCTAAGACGTTTACCACTTCGGTGAAACCAACGAGCACGGGTATGGTGCTGACAAACCTAGAAACATAATCTGGGCGAACCAGGATTCGAACCCACAATCATAGGTTTCTGGCATGCCCAAGGGACGCAACTCTGCACAGCGAATCGTGGCGCCTTAGACAACTGGGCCACCCGTGTCTCCCGTACTTGAAGTACCTTCTTTTGAGAGACAACGTGGCATGTAAGATATATCAGATTGAAACAGATCCAATGTATGATTATGTTTTAAAGTTTCGGGAGAGAAATTAAAATCTGTGTGTTCACATTGTGGCAGCACCATTTCAACAATAAACTATTAACAAATGCAAAACAATCAACTCTCCTCAACTTCACGAAGAAGGTAACATTACAAACTACACGGGATTGGTGATGATAAAGATACGTTGCATTATTCAACATAGTACCCAGTAACCACAACCTTATCTACCAACTACATTAAGTGTCTATTAACATTATGACATTCTATGGTCGAAATGTGTTTGAAAGTACGGAAAATATGAATTTGAATTTGTTCAAAGTAAATTCAATCTAATAAATAATTGTAATGTTTATATTATTTAGATGTAGGCCTAATAAGCTATTCATAGCTCTACGACTATCAGATTTACTCTCACCAGTGGGTTTAACCCGCCAGATGCCAAGTTATGTTTCTGATGCACATTTCATGAGATCTGAAAAGTGCAGGTTGTGAGAGAATAGCGCTTGCACGGTGTTGGAAATACCTCTGGCTTTAAAATGACACAGAAATGTAGAATATTAAATTTCCTATCTGATGGTGTAAATTTAACTGCAATTTTTTAATGCGGTTTGAAAAAAAGACACTGTTCTGCATTAAAAAACAACGAATTTCACCGTTTTTTATCGTACACCGATAGAAGTACAGTAGAACGCAGACACAATGAACACTGATACAGCGAACAAACTGATACAACACACTGTTACAAAGTCCCGGATTTATCTCCTGTATATTATCATATATAATTTACATACATAACAAACTCGCTACAGCAAACTAATGGACATAGCAAACTGATATCTGATCCCTGACAAGCCCATCGACCACTAATTAGTGATGTGTCTAGCGAACTGAGAAATCACACTCAGTGTCAATTTTGTTATTAAGTGTCACTGACAAATGGCTGTACACAATCAGCGGTGAATCAACACAAGCAGCGGTGACGATTCAACCTTGTTGATCTTGCATTACCGTGTGTTAATTTTACCTGTACATGTAATAGGACTAATTTTGTCTGTAAAACAAACATTAAACATAATTTTCATGACATTTTGTCAAAGTGTCAGTTCACTTGCACATGCTATCATGGCAGGCAACAGTAAGAGGAAAGCTATCACGAAATTGAGAATCATAAATGCTGTTGATGCAGGTATCATTTATGAGTTATCATGGTGTAATATTAATACATCATTTCATATAATTATAGTTTAGCAAGTAATACATATCATCAGGTAAAATGCATATATAAAATATCAGTAGTTTCAGTTATAGCTTTTTAGATAGATGCTAGTCTAAGGTAACGAGAATAGATTTAAAGCGTTAAGATAAATACTAGCCTAAGGTATTAGATCCCATCTCCCAGACATAATATTCAATAAGACAAAAGACATGTCTACATAGTCTTATAGATTGCCTTGAACTATTTTATTTAAGTAAATCTGTCATCACCTATATTAGAACATTCAGCAATTACTTCAATTTAGACTCATGAAGGATTAGCCCCCATACAAGTTCATTTTATCTCGGGTAACTTGGTGAGAATTTGATGTGGATACGGACAATATATTTCCGTGATGTTTTGTTCACGAGAAACCAAACTATTCCAACAAATACTGATATTGAAACTGTATACAACTGTATACATGTGTATAAAGAAAACATAAAAAATGATTAAATCATACTTATCAAAAAAGAAGTAATAGTGAAATGTATGGCCCTATCTAACATTTAAATCAGTCCTTAGATTGCAACATTCTCCTGATAAAATACTGCTTTTACCATGTAAATAATGTCTTGAATAGATAAACAATTAGATAGTGTTACCATGTATCTTAATTTGACAAGATGCACAACTGTTTGCTGTCATTTGTATGTAATCAAATATTAAATAGAAGATTTCAAAACAAACAAAAATATTTTCAAATTGTGACCATGGTGACATGTATTTGTTCATTATCATGTGATTATTTCTCTTCATCTTGTCTCAGAATCATACAATAAAAGATGCAATGAAAGCTCCTTTGGTACAGAATTATCAGGATAATCGTATAAGGTTTGTCCAACAGGATATATGGCACAGTTGTTGTTTCGTACCTATATCAATTCTTGTAGAAATAAAGCAAACAGTTTAATATCCTGTGATCACAAGATTTTTATAAGGGGGAACCATTTGATTATATAATACAAAACAAGACATTCGTAAATCGTTTGTGACTATCGCGCACCTGGCGAATCATTAAACATCACCGTTTGTCTATCAAAAGACATAAAAAAACATTCCAAGATCAAGACATTTCTTCGAAGAATGTGTACCGTATTTGACGTAATAAGCGCCCAGGGCGCTCTCAAAATTAGAAATAGGGGGCTCTTTTTAGAATATTATTTGGTGGAAAAAACAGAGTTGAAAGATAGATTTTATGGTCTATGCTGACAGCCTGAAATGTTTATATACGAGAGATACATTTTTCCAGAATTTAATTGCCCATAATTAAGGGTGCATATAACACACAAGTGCGTATTATAGGCGAATAAATAAGTGTTGTGTACATTGATCAATCGGAAGGGGTGCTAATTGGTATTGTTCACTAGCCAATATATTAGCAAATGTTTCTGTGGGCGCTTATTACGTCGAATACGGTATATATATTTAACAAAAAATATTGTCCATTTTATTAAGTAATATATTCACTTTTAGTTTAAATATAAATGTAACAGCTTTTCATTAACATGTTTATATGAAATTACAATATTGACTATTACACACCAAAGAATGGTACAAATAAATATGTTGCAGGGACATCGAACAATAGTTATCATTGTAAATAATTCTAAGAATACTACCTCTATTACATCTTTGCCATAAATCCTGTATTTTGGCTTCAGTCATGCTAACGAAATTTTCAGATTTTCAACAGACCTCCTCTTCACTGCCAATTACACACAATCAGTTGTTCCCAATATAGCACTATAGCAACCCAAACTATGACGTGCGTAATGGTGGGAAACCTCACTTCTTTCCAACATCTAACCACTAGAGGTACCGTATATGCCCGAAGAATGTAGTAGGGTCACTATTTTAGTGACTTCTGATGTTAAAGCAGTGTCAACTTTGGGAATTTTTAAAGTCCAGGGAGGGTGTAACCCTTCGTAGTGACTTTCTGGAGGCTGAATGTCATCACAATTGTGACTTCGTATGAGTTATGTACTAATATCCCAGATGGCTTTAGTGAGGGATTTTTTTTAGCTAGGACTTGATCTCGGGTGTTTTTGTCTTGACATATCTTTTTAAACCAAAGGGTTTGATGTTCTTCCCAAGAACAATAATACTGCCTGCTCTCTTCTTAGTTTCAATGGAAGTTCTCCTGTTTCTACTTTTAGTGCTTCAAGTGAAGTACCTGTTACTGCACCTGTGGTTAGCATTAGGGCTTTGTATTGTATTCTGTTGAGGCGGCTCAAAACAGTATTTGATGCTGAGTGAAAGGCCTCACAACCATAGTTTATTTTTGATCTGATAAGTGATTTGTAGAAGTCCAGCTGAGTGTCCCTCGATGTGCCCCAAGATGTGCCTGAAATAGCTTGTAATACGTTCAGGTCTTTTTGACATCTGTTTTCCACATATTCTATGTTTGCACCAAGTGAGGTTTTGATCAAGGATCACCCCTAGAAATATTGTGGATTTGTCGAATTTGATTGGTTTGCCTTTTATGGAGACACAGAGTTTCATAGCATCTTTCCCCCTGCGTTTGAATAGAACTTCCACAGTTTTTTCACTTGAAAGGGTAAAACCCCATTTATTGCACCATTGATCTACTCAGTCCAGGGCTGACTCGAGTTTTTTTTATTTGTGATATATGCTTTACCAATATTACTCCGTCATCAGTGAATTTAGAAGTTTGGGTAGGAGAGTTGCATGATCAAAAACATCATTGATCATGATGTTAGACAGGGTTGGGCTTATAAAGCTGCCTTGTGGCGTGCCACTGTCCAGTGACAGGATCAGATTGATCGATTGTTCCAAACAGCAACCCAAGCTATGACATGCATAATGGCGGGAAACCTCACTTCTTTCCAACATCTAACCACTAAGTAAAGTACTTACAGTACTGTAAATGAATTGGGGAGGTGGGTGGGAGTACTTCTGATGTAATAGAGGTAGTATTCTTAGAATTATTAACAATGATAACTATTTTTGATAATTCTTGTGAATCCTCTACCTTTATTACATCTTTGCCAGAATATGCCAGAGGGTTCCGGTGGGATCTGCCTCTAGTAACTCACTGTGTAATTGACAGTAATCCTCTTCTTGGAACCATTTAATCACTGATTCTAATCAGA